TAGGCGAGTACATATTCATCCTCATCAACAGGAACTATTGTTGACGTCGATGACATCACATTGTTTACGATCAATCAAAATTTAACTCTCTCGATATTGGCAACTCAGGGAATATTGAGTTGACTTTTGAGCGAGTTGGCTCCTATGAACTATTGCGCACTCACCCACACACAGGTGTACACAACAATATGTCCTCCCCGACGTACACAAGCTGAGAGTGTTAGTGTGTGGTCACCTCTAGTATACCCGGGGTCGAGTCTCAGCTCTTAGGTCTGCATCTTAACCGTCGTCAAAATAATTTACTTATAGCATCGAGCATTATGTCATAACTACTCTTGAAACTTTTCCTCTAAGGCATTCCACTAATCACACAAAGACTGTGGCTCATCTGCGTGTTTAGTCAGAACTTGAGTCCTCTGGCTCCTTCTCTTATCATTAGAACCAGCTTGTCCCTTTCCACTCTCTCTCTCTATCAGTTGAGTATTTTGTATGGCCCTCTTAAATAACAAAAAAAAAGGCACAATACCGTGACTGGAACGATACACAAATAACCCACACATAAAAGAGAGAAGATTACGACGACGTTTCGGTCCGACTTGGACCATTGACAAAGTCACACTTGGACCATTGACTTTGTCAATGGTCCAAGTCGGACCGAAACGTCGTCGTAAGCTTCTCTCTTTTATGTGCGGGTTATTTGTGTATGGCCCTCTTATCTTCCATAGTTGCTAGTTGAGTTCAATGATCTCCTCGTAGTCTGTTTCTCATTGCTCCGGCACCAGCACCGCTGAAAATCATAGGATCTACAAATTTTACACGCAACGAATCTACTCTGAAGACTTCATCGCGAATGCCAAAGAGCGCCTCGGCTAAATACCAGGAGAAAGCCTTCTGGGGAGACAGAAGAGAAATGTTTTTAATATCTTGTTTCACACCGTACCTAGAAACGTCTCTAAGCGAAATCTTGAGATAAATCTAGGAGCTGACATGAGGGAGTTCCCTAGTTCAAGCACTTTCTGCAGTGGCCGTTCTCACCTTTTATCTCAGCAGGCTTTCTCATGGTATACCTACACCTGGGAGGGGGTGCTCCATGGGTAGGTGCCCCCCACGGCCCGGTCCACTACCAGACCTGAAAAACTGTAGCAATTCTGTTAATGCTGCCTCCAGGTTGACTTTTTTTTTTTTAAACTATCCTTCGTGACCTCTGGGAAAGATCATGGTAGGTTTCCATAACTGCTGTTGAATCTAGCTTTTCTTTAGTGATTTTTGGCATAAATATCTTCTATTTTAGCTACATACTTCTCTTAAAGTTTATCTTTATCTGAGATATTCTGCATTTCGCCCTGTTATACTCCATCCCGTAAAAAAATGAAGCTCATATTATGGGATGTGAAGGTGGGTTTTGCATATTTATATACCAGAACAAGAAAATAGTATCAGTTTGTTTTTTGGGGTAATATATTTGAGAAAACTACTTTCTATTCAAGTCTTGTACTCTAATAAACTTTTTGACTCTTACGTCTTATTTTTTTCTTATATCCTGAGATATATATATATATATATATATATATATATATATATATATATATATATATATATATATATATATATATATATATATTAAAGCAAAAAGAGGATAAATAATTGATCTCTGTGTTTTCTAAATTTAATAAATTGAAACCTTCGTGGTATCCATTTCAGTTTTTAAACTTACATTTTTCCTTAATTTTTTATAGCAGTTTTTCATGCATTATTTTGTTTCAGTTTTGGCAGCCTGTACATCCATCCACTCAGCATTTTCGTCTAGTGAAAAGGCATTGACAGCTCTGTTTTGATCTAGTTTCGTCCGCCATATTGTAAACAGACGACTTAACTATTTCAATAATTTATCGCAAATTATACACAACATTCCCGTAATCTTAATGTTATGGAAGAGCAGTCATACTGATCCCTCGCTATCAACACGTATTCACATTCCTTCTCTAAGCTGCGCAAGATACACGTGCATCTCTAAGTTGTTGTCCGTGTGGACATCAACGCAAATGACCCAACGTCCACTTATCTTTCTAATGGCCTTGTCTGGGTCATTAATCACTTCGTGATGCGTCACCTGTGCAACAAAAAATGACAGAAAAAGACTTGTTTTTTCTGTTATTTTACAAAGTTCTCATTAGCTCGCACAATTAGTCACACATTCTTTTTCTTTTAACAAGTATCAAGATTCTTCACATTGCCTCTGACTATGTAAATTATTTACAGCGTCCATTGCATTAAAATATGGGCTACCTTAGGAGCTGGTTCTTTTAAGTGTAAAAGACCATTATATATATATATATATATATATATATATATATATATATATATTATATATATATATATATATATATATATATATATATATATATTTTTTTTTTTTTTCAACAAACCGGCCGTATCCCACCGAGGCAGGGTGGCCCAAAAAGAAAAACAAAAGTTTCTCTTTTTTAAATTTAGTAATTTATACAGGAGAAGGGGTTACTAACCCCTTGCTCCCGGCATTTTAGTCGCCTCTTACAACACGCATGGCTTACAGAGGAAGAATTCTGTTCCACTTCCCCATGCAAACAACCACAGGAGGAGTTGATTGATAGTTCTAGGCCTTTCAGCACGTCAGGAGCTTGCACTGTTGCAGAAAAGAGGAGATCCAAGCAGATACGATCACATTGCACGTCTCGCTCACTAAGACAAAAAAAAAAAACTCCTGGTGAACGATATATCATAACACAACATATGATTGTGTATTCGATAAAAGTCTTTCACTAATTAACATAACGAATGTCAGTCACATCACTGAATTAACAGCACGTCCGTCTCACGATTAGGAACGTAGTATCAAACCTCCACCACTCTGTGCTCTGAATGGCCCACGCGGGCTTAGTGTCTTACATAAATACAAAAAAAATATATGATAATAACCCTCTCCTGAACAAGCGTTGACGGAAACTAGAGAAAGTCTAAAGAATCTCTCCAAGACTTATCTCAGAGCTTAGTGGTACGACCTACGAAGAACGGCTAATAGAATTTAAACTTGCAACACTATAGAAGAAAGGAGTAGCATAGAAGGTATGATCACGATGTAAAAAGTTCTCAGAGAACTTATGTGAGGAAAGAGATATTCTAATGTAAAATATCAGACCGGGAAGTAGGGAATGGAAGATAAATTGGAAATGTAGCACAAGAACGAGAGGAAGTACCTCATTCCGAGGGTAATTAGAGTGATGAATGGTCTAAAATTGAAGAATTCGGTGGAAGTAGATAACATACACAGTTTACAGACTAGGTATGGCAGGACAATTCAAGCTAAGAGTTTAGAGAAGCCACAAGTGACTGACAGGAGGTGATAAGAACAGAGACTGGATCCTGAGAACAATAACTAAATAAACACACACACACACACACACACAGGTAGTAGTGGTAGTTCCTTAACGTGTTAATGACAGGTTAAGTGGTTTAAGGGAACTATGCTAATTGAGAAGAGGAGAATAATGAATGATGAAAGAGTGAAAGGAAAATTGAGAATATTACATAGGGGTGAGCGGAAGGGAGGAAGAGTGAGAGAGAGCAAGCTTCTATACCATAAGACGGGCAGACAGCAGCAACCTCATTCTGGCTGTACCCTTCTCCAGAACATCACTTCATCCGAGATCATTTATCCCCAGGATGACTCTAGTATGGAACACATTCGTACAGCATTATGATGTTAATGAGATAATGTCAGCTGAGCAAATGAAAATGCTGGCCCACAGATGGCTCCATCTTCATCCTGTTCCTTACTTGTATGTTTCATAACAACAATGCTTTCAAATGAGCTGATGTACGTAACAGTTCTTAGCTTGTCAATAAAGTTAAGGATCCTTTACCTAACCTGTCAAAGCCTGGGTAAAATAAAAGAGGCAGAGAGAGAGAGAGAGAGAGAGAGAGAGAGAGAGAGAGAGAGAGAGAGAGACAGACAGACAGACAGACAGACCTGTGTTGGAAGATGGAGAGAACATAAATCCTTTGTAAAGACCCTTTAATTAGATTCCGGTAATGCACGTAGAATTAACTTCTTGTAGGTGAGTGCGTAGATTAACCGTGCGTATGTGAGCGTCTGAAACCTCTGGCTTGACCGTGGATCGTTTACTTGAGTAGCTTAGGACTGCTGAAGCGTCAAGTGTTTGGCTGAAGCGTGAGGTTCTAATGCGTCCTTCGTGTACTTGCTCTGAAGGCATATTCCGAGTGCATGGTTTGAGTGTGTGCACTGTAAGGTTTGGAGTGTGTGTGTGTTGAGAAAATTCTCTTGGACCCAGTGGATATTGCCTGAGATTTATCCATCAAATACAGACTAACAACATCAAACTGACCACTCACAGGTGACCTTGTATACCTTCACTAGCGCTTATTACCTCAATACTAGAGCTCTCATAGCTCCGTTCCCACAGCCTCGTACCTCTTCCTACACAATTCATGTTCCTTCCCAACAAGTTACGAACCATCCCCACCCACATATCTCACGTACCTCTCCTTCACAATTCACATACCTCTCCTTCACAATCCATGTACCTCTCCTTCACAATCCACGTACCTCTCCTTCACAATCCACGTACCTCTCCTTCACAATCCACGTACCTCTCCTTCACAATCCACGTACCTCTCCTTCACAATCCACGTACCTCTCCTTCACAATCCACGTACCTCTCCTCCCTCTCACAGTTTGAATTTTGACTTAAGACTGAGGGAGAGTAACACAAGTCAGTCCATCTATCATCATTCTATCTTTTGGATGTCACTACCGCCCGGCTCCGGGTGGATTACAAGTATCTTTGGCAGGTTAAATCACCAACGTTCACAATCACGTATCTCCCCCTCGCAATTCACGTAATTCCTCTCACAATTCACGTACCTCCTCTCACAATAACGTACTTCCTCTCAATTCACGTACCTCCCCTCACAATAACGTACCTCCGCTCACAATCACGTACCTCCCTTGGGAAACATCTGGAAATAGAGTTCCTTGAAGGCGTCTTCTCTGACCACACCCGTGGGACATCTGTCCTTGAAGCTGCGGTAGAGGCGCTGCAACTCAGCTCTGGTGAAGTGCGTGGTGCGGGAGAGTGCGTTGATGTCCTCAGGTCGGTATCTAGGCTCTTGTTCCAAGATCTCCAACTCTGCGTCTGCGGTGAGGACGAGATGGGGGTTACTCTTGGGGAGGTAGGAGAGGGGGAGGTTGTGGGTGTACTGTGTGTGTGTGTGTGTGTGTGTGTGTGTGTGTGCGCACAAGCATTTTCAGCAAATTTTGCCAAGAATAAGAGAAGTTTAGAGACAAGCAATGGATTAGATAAGAAACCAACAAAGAATCAAATACAGTTACAGTGGAACCTCGGTACTCGAACAGCTCTGTACTCGAACAATTCGGTACTCTAACGTTTTGTTCGGTAAAAAATCGCTCGGTAGTCGACCGTTTTCTCGGCACTCTACCAAACACGACCTGCCAGAACATGTGCGTCAGTCTCTCCGCAGCTGTCGCTCAGTCCAAAACTCCTCTGAACTTCACTGTAAACTATTTCGTGTTTCTTCGCATTTTTTTAATATTATTTGTATAAATAAGTCACCATGGGGCCTAAGAAGATTAGTGTTACAGACATCCAAAAAGAAAACTGATTAGTGTGCGTTTGCCCTGATGTAAACGCCGTCTCAGCCTCTTCATATATGCCTTTTATTATTAATTTCGGCATCTTTATTGTGATTCAAGGTAATCTATCATGTTTCTGATATCAAGTTGGAATAAATGTGATAGATAAGCTTCATTACTAATATTAGCACAATTACACAACATTGTATTTGTACCACCACTAGTATCCGGCTATAAAGATAATTCATCAGATACTGCATGCTCCTTCTGCTGGCCCCTCCCTCTTTCTCCTATAGCTCCTCCCACTTCGGGCCCCTCATATTATGCTTGCTTTCAATTTAGAATTTTTATTGACACAAAAAAATAGAAGATTTACTGTTATACAGACAAGTCCATTATTGAAAAAATAGTATAAATAATATCAGCACATTTGTGAAAGCATATTAGACCCACCAGTTGACGTGTATTGGACGCGTGACATGATTTATTTACTTTTGATCAGCAAAAATCGAACATTTCCGCTATTTTGAGCTCAATATCAAGGTTTAGTCAGTAAACCATTCACAGTCATCTGTATTTCGGCAATATACCTTTCATTCTATCAAATGAGACCAAGAAAACGAGAATACCATCATAAATACCATACGAAAATACACCACAAAGTCGCTGTAACTATTTTTGGGGATCCAAAATGGATTAATTAAATTCACATTATTCCTTATGGGAAAAATTCGTTCGGTACTCGAATAGATCGGCACTCGAACAAATTTAGTTAGAGTACCGAGGTTCCGCTGTATTACGAGTTAAGAATGAGGTCAGGGGCCCGAGACTGTTCAACTGCCTCCCAGCATACATAAGGGGGATTACCAACAGACCCCTGGCAGTCTTCAAGCTGGCACTGGACAAGCACCTAAAGTCGGTTCCTGACCAGCCGGGCTGTGGCTCGTACGTTGGTTTGCGTGCAGCAACAGCCTGGTTGATCAGGCTCTGATCCACCAGTGTGATTCAGTTCAGATGGGCTTGTGAGGTCTCTAGGGAGACCTAATTATATGGTCACACCTGCCTTAGCAAATGTCGGGTAGTCACGCCCACGTCTAAGGTCTTTTGTGCTTAACGGCGTCAGGTCGTAACACGTGGTACATACACCAGTGGGGAGGGGGTACTTTGACTACGATATAAGCCCGGGGAACAGTGGGGCAAAGAGGTTGTTGGTGACAGGTCCGGGAAGCGAGAGCTCTGGACAGCCGCGTGTGTAGTGGACCACGCATTGGGAATCTCGGGTCAGCTGGTCGGTGAATTAAGAGAGTACTAGTCCGTGTTACTGATAACATCTACCCTTCCCCCTGGTAATAAGTCTCATAGGTCAATTGTTATATTGTGTAAAGTTCCATCAGGATATGTTGTATTCTAGCCCTTTTTTGTTATTAAGTAAACTATAGCCATAGTTCCCAGTTTTATTTGTACCTCCATATGCTATTCCCTATTCTGTTAAGCACTGGGATATACAGGAGACGTGCTCACTCGCTGGGATACCTCAGGTAGAGTGGGTAGAGGTCTCACACCAGGAGGCCTGGTCACAGACCGGGCCGCGGGGGCGTTGACCCCCGGAACTCTCTCCAGGTAAACTCCAGGTAAACATAAGATGCTCCACAACGAGGTAGAGATATTAGAGACGTCGAGTTTGTTCCGAGAAGTTTTGACTATAAGTGATGAAATGGAAGTAGAAATATGATACATGGGAGCAGGGAAGAATGGTAATGTTAGATGGGAAAACCGCGGAAGTGTACATTTCCTTTTATTTTCCAGGAGAAATAGGAAAAATAACAGTTCAGGTATCATGGGAAATAAATCTGCTGAATATCCCCAGTGAAGTGTGTGCAAAAGAACTGTTATGGAACGATTGATTAGAAAGATACATGCTGATTATAGAAGAATAATGAGAATTTAGGATAAGAATAGGGTGAGCAGATCAAGCGTGCATATATATATATGTATATATATATATAATATATATACACACACATATACATACATATACATTTGCACGCAGAAACAAGCGGGTACATACAATGAAAGATCGCAGTTAGCAGGATTCGAAAGTACTACTGGGGACAGTAAAGATTCCCAGGTAGCATTCTAGTCCACTCGGCCACACAAATGCATTTGTGTGGCCGAGTGGACTAAAGCGGTGCCTGGGAATCTTGACTGTCCCCAATAGAAGTTTCGAATCCTGCTGACTGCGATCTTATATATATATAATATATATATATAAGTAGTACTGGTTTCTTCTGAGGCCGTATGGGGCTGAGCGGTCTCTGCGGCTGAGCGGTCTCCTCCTCTGTATGCTGTATGCGGCTGAGCTGTCTCTTTCTGCAGTGCCTTCTGCAGCGTCGTCCGGATCCCCCTCGCTCCCCGAATTTTTTTCCGATTTTTTTCGATTTTTTTTTGAATTTCATTTTCTTGTGCTCTCCATCTCCTCGGATCAAGTTTTTGGATTCATCCCTCTGGGGATAAGCATTCAAAACAGACTCCCACTTGCATCCCAAATTCCCTGCTCCACTTCCTCGGATCATCACCCTCCCCCACCATCCACTTCTACCACAAATATTCTTGCTCTACTTCCTTCGATCAAGTTTCTCAACATCAATAATTAAAGACTCCACTTCCTCGGATCAAGTTTTTTTGGATTCCCCCCTCTGGGGGTAAGCATTCAAAATGAACTCTCACTTGCATCCCAAATTCCCTGCTCCAATTCCTCGGATCAACACCCTCCCACCATCCACTTCTACTCTCTATGTCCAAGTACTTCTCCCCCATCTCCTTGGATCAAGTTTTTTGGATTCCCCCCTCTGGGGGTAAGCAATTCAAATGAACTCCCCCTATGGGGCATGGTACTTTCTCTTACTACAGGTCTAAACAAGTGTGACGTCACCCCACCTGTGTTTACTCGGCGGTCAGTGACGTCACGTGATGACCTCACACACACAGGCTGAATCTTGTCGAGCAGACAATAACTTGAAATTAACTTAAATAAAGTAACATAGGATAACACTAATATTTTCCATTTTAAAGTATTACATTCTCTTCATTACATGAAGTCTCAGTATTATGTATTTCATATACAACATAGGGAAAACATTACACATTTTCACTCTTAACCAAGGATAACCCAAATAATTTCACATTTTTTTTTTCGTTAATACCCACAACAATCCACAATTTCTTTACAAAATGCAACAAAAGATTCACTCTCCTCAAGTCTAGACATTTTTCTCGTTTTAACTATTTCATCAGAAAAAGTCTGGCGAATCTTATCTGACCGATCTCAGATAACATCTCAGGTCACTCCCCACAAAGTAACCTTCTCTCTCCCCTTACCCCTTCTACCCACCCCCTAAACCCTCACTCTCCCACCAGCATCTCGCAACAAGACAATTTTCACTCATATCACAATTTTTTCTCCTTTTAACTATTTCATCAAAAAAAGTCACCACAACACTTACAACTTATATCCACTTTTCGATAAATTCACTAGTCACATTTTTACATATTACGAAGTTAATACCCACACACACACACACACACACACACACACACACACCCACACCACACTTTACTTTGAACACCAAAAACACCATCAATTACCTTTGAATATTCAAAAACATCATTCGAACACAGCCAAATCACCACTGAATACTCCCAGAACATCTTCATAAATACTCTTGCACATCATTTGAACACCTTCAAAAACACCTTTGAATAGTCTCAAACACCATTTGAGTACTCCCAAATACACCACTGAATACTACTAAAACACCACTGAATACAGTCAAAACACCACCAAAATCACAGACTAACACCCATTTTCACAAAAATCCCCTCAAATCACTATTACGATTACCAATTTCTATGAGTACACTCACCTCCAACTAAGATATAACATGAGCGCAAAAAAAAAAAAAAATGAACGCAAACCAAACACACACGAACACTTACAACAGATTCACCTCTTTTTCGGTATCTCTAGTTCGACAACAACGTCCACAACCCAAAACACCCACAACCCACATCACCCACAACAACAACCCACAACTTATAACCACTTTCCGGTATCTCTAGTTCGACAACAACCCCCACAACCCACAACACCCACAACACCCCACAACCCACATCACCACAACAACCCACTTATAACATCTTTTTTTGGTATCTAGTTCGACAACAATATACACAACCCTCATCGCCCACAACCTTTATCATCTCTCTACAGAACAACCCCGAGATTACTTCGAACACTCTCATAAATCATTTGGATACTCACAAAAAAAACCTTTGAACATTTCCAAACACTGAAACACTTCCATAATATAATTTTTGAATAATTTCTTAGCATCCACTCACCCGTCTCCCAACACACCTCTTCAGAACAAACACAAAAATCACATTTCACATCCACAAATGCATCTCATCACCCATCTCAAATCCACTAAAATCATTGTATCCAAGATATTCACAAAATTCTATGTCCACCTAACACACACA